TTCAGCCGCGGGACTGCCGCAGCGGCAGGCTTATCTAAGCACGCTAGGCCAGATCCCACGCATGGGAAATGCCACCTACCGGCACCAGCCACCAGCCACAGATTCTTAACGGATTCCTTTGAGTGGGCCGTTCCCGATGCTGATCCGTCGGCTCTTCTGTTGGTGTCGATGATCTTGATACATCACCTGGGTGGGCCGATCCTTTGTGTCCTTTTTTCCCACATTTTTCTTTTCTTTCCTTTTTTTACAGTACTTCCCTTTTCGCTCTTTTCCCTCTCTCCTACCCTTTTTCGCCCTCCCAATTCATCTCTTTTCCCCCCCCCCCCCCTTTCTTCCGCACTAACTAGCAACCACACGGGACTACGAAAATAACAAGAAGCCACCTAACAGGCTAACACACTCTCCCTCCCAACACTGTCATTTGCATTAATTCTTCGGAAGGCTACACTCCCCCCTTTGGGACCTTTTGCAACTTTGCCATATCAGGGTCCCAATGCCGAGCGACTAACTAAAAATGGGCACAGTGGGAGCTTCTAGCGACGGGTGGATAATAAGGTGTGACTTACTGTTCATGATGAGCAGCTTCGGGCCCCTATTCTCGTGTCGGATCCGAGGGCTTTTTTTTCCAAATCAAGGCGCTCCTAAAGGTCGGACTTGGCCACCATCGACAACAATCAAGTTTAGTATATATTCATACATCCCCACAAAGCCAGAAGATGGATGGAGTCCATATGTAAGACGAGAATAAAAAAAGAAAAAGGAACTAACAAGCAAGTAATATAGGGGCATTCTTACCCCATACTATAAACCCCCTAGTAGTAGTGGTAGTAGTACCACCACGACCACCCCCTGTCTAGCAAAGAGATAAGTGACATTCACTTCAGCCCAGTGGAGGCAAAGGCAAGGCACGGATTCTCTCCATCTTACATACCAGATCGCAAACCCGGCCGACCGGAGCTGCCACCCACCCAGTTATCCACCCATTCTTCGCAACCGGCATACGGTGATGAATGCCGCCCAGCAATGTACCTGAAACACGATAGCAGGAGCACAAACAATGCATTGACAATGTGGTCGGTATGTGGGTTACTCGGGCAGATTTGTATCGCAAGGGGGTGAGCAACTCAACCCTTTCGACGGAGTACATCGGTTTGTTCTATTCTTGTCCAACGCAGTGCTTGCTTGCTTACTTGCTTGCTTGCTTGTCTGCCTGCTTTAAGTACAGCAAAGGAGTCCAACTATGCATGCACATAATTCAGGCTAATCGCTCACGCTAGTAGATAGATAGATAGGTAGATAGATAGAAAGCTTCGTTTCTCCCTTCCGTTCACCTTCTTCATATTATGAACGACACAAGTCAATAGACAATTGTACTATAACCCAGCACATACTAGCACCAACACCACTTCCTGGGCAACAGGGATTGGATTAGTCTAACTAACCATTGTCCCCAGTCACCAAATTAATCCCTGTTTTTTTAGCTACTCAGTTGCTTGCAGCTTATCATCATCACCCATGCACGCACGGCGCTTACTCACGAAACAACTCTTTACCGGGGAATGGGAGGGCTCCCATATGCAACATACAAGGCAAATAGATAAATAAGTAGGCAGGCAGACAAGACAAGTCAATGTCGACTATAGTAGACACACTGACGCCCGCATGGATATTCCTGTATGTAGGTCAAGGAATCTAGAAACTGCAAGCTAGGTAGATACATAAAGCAAAAAAAAAAGAATAAAAACCAAACTAACTTTCCAGATTCCACGACACATACAGCAGACACGCTCACCCCCGACATACTCCGTACATATTTCGTTCCACCTGTACGACGCCTTTTGACAGGCTGATCTGATGACTGCCGATGGTTTATGCAGGTATGCCTGCTGCTGCGCCAGTTTGCGCGCACAGGGCCCCAGCCAGCGCTAGGGACGAAAAAAGAAAAGCAGGAAAATTGGGGGAAAAAAAGAAAATATATAACTATGGGATAAGTGTACAAAGTTATAAGAATTTCTGAATTTGGTGCAGGGAAAATAAAAAAAATCGAAAATGGAAAATCAAAATATGAAAATATATAATTTCTTCGATATTAAAAACGGACGTGACAGGGCAGGCAACCTACTTACCTACTACTACTAGTTACTACTGACTGCTAACCGCCAGAAAGAACTAACTGGGTTGTCATGGATTCCCATGAGTCTCGTCTCCTCTTTTTTTTACCCCCCGAGGCCGCGCGCGCGCGCCTCGCCCCTCTCTTCTCCCCCTTCCCTTCCCTTCCCTTCTCTTTTCCCCGTTCTGCCAACGTTACACAACATCATGCGATCCACTCTCTAATAGCTGCTGCTGCTTCTGCCGCCGCTTTCACACAATCCTTCTATGTATGTACTTATGTACCTAAGTATGTAGGCGGATAGCTAGCTAGCTAGGGATTGCACAACTCTTGGTTTTTTTTTTCCCTCCCGCCGGGTCAGTCCGTCTACCTACCTAGTATCTGTCAGTGTGTCTCACAAGTTCCCAGCCCACTGGCCGGGCCATGTACCAAGCAAGCAGTAGACCACATGCGTTGTATACATCCGCATTAAGAAAAGAAATTCGCATGAAAAAAAAAAAAAGAAAAATCGACAGGTCATCATCATCATCATCATCGGTCAATATATTCCTCCAACTCTATCCATCTGTCATCACATCCACATCACATCTCATCGAGATGCTTCCAGGAAGATAAACCTAATCACTGTACGACTTGAGCGAAAACCTTGGGTTTTATTTCCCTCTCTCCCCCTTCCCTGAACAAACCATAAAAACAGCGACAATGAGAATGGTAATATTTAGTAAGGAAATTCAGCCCCCAAAGTAAGTAGTCTAACCATTAAACAACATAAAACCCTTCCAATCTACTAGTTAGTAGAATAGTCTACTTACTAAGGGGATGGTACCCCTCAGGCACAGACCACACGTTTTGGGTCTAGCCGACCAACCGAAAATGTCACCTTCGGCATGGCCCGGCTTCCGGTGACGGCGAGTCAGCATGCCCTTGGGTGGTGTTGGTATTTTATGCCTTGGTGCCTTAGCTTGCTGAGCGAACTTACCCTATTGTACTAGTACCAATCAGGTAGCTAGGGTAAGGGTAAAGTTCATGTCCTGTTCTGCAAGCGGAGCGCACCATAAAGGCAACTTGGCCCCCTACTTTGTCTCATCATCATCATCATCATTATCACCATCATCGCATTTTACAATTCTGGAACCAGCTCGGGACCCAGAAATTTCCAATCCAGATAATTTTGTATGGTACTAACCTACTTGCTTTGAAGTTAGTTAATAGTTAGAACCAGACACGCTGACATAATAATGACCCTATTCATCATCATCATCTTCTTCTTCTTCATCTTCGGGTAGATAATACACACACAACCACAAGCATAGAGTTTGAACTTTGAAGAAATGATAAGGTTTTTCATCTCTTTTTTTTTCCACCCTACTCCATACTTAGTAGCCATAGCGGGCCTTTTTCTCGGACTGACAATTGTTGGCTATGGATCCCCGTCTAACTATCTACTATTTTTTGATTTTCCTTCCTTGGAACACTACTGCCGTATGTAGTCTAGAACAAATGGAGTGGCATCAAGTTTTAAGGGGTCAAATTTCCCGAACCACTAGTAAGTCTAGATATGGTGGTTTAATAATTCCTTATTTCAGTTTGTGAATATGAATGGAACAAAAAATGGAACAGAACAGAACAGAACAAGAAGATTACATACAAACTACTTAGTTATCAACTTGTTTATTTTCTCACCGGTCACTCATTGATCATTAGATATTTATATTTATGCAGTATATGTGCTGTGCAGTTCGTGTGTAGAAATTTAGAAAGGGGGGGCGGAAAGAGAAACCCAAACCCCCATCGACGGATCACAGCTGAGAAGCTATGCTAGTATGCGATGTGGGTGTGATGCGATCAGATCAGATCAGATCTCTGATCAGCTGCGCTTACTTACTTACATACTTACTTAGTCACCTAGTTTAAGTAAGGTAGTTATGTAGGTAAGTAGGCAGGTTAGTTAGGCAACCTTTATAACAGGAATCATGGTATGTACAGCAAGTAGTAGTAACCTTATCTGTGACGAACTACTAGGTACCACGTAGATGGTCCTAGTGGTGGTACTACTTACATCTCGTATGTGTGTTTGGACTGGGTCTGGACTTGAAACGGGGGGAGCATGATGTAGCTGTAAGGGACGGCGAGGGATGAGGTCATGGTCATTTCTTATGTGGTGTGTATGTGAGAAGTAGGGATGGATCGATGAGTTGGTGAAGGGTTGTAGCTAAGTAGATATAGATGGATGTTACGATGGATGGTATGATAATTGTTGAATGTCGATGTGATGAGTACCCATGGTGATATATTTATGTAGTAGTAGATGGACTCCCGATTCAAGAAATTACATTGGGTTGCTTGGTTATTACTAGGTTGATGTTAGGTTTTTCTAGTATCTAGTTCACGATTGCAACGAAAAGATATATTGTACCAGGGACTCATGAGTCTTGATGATCATGTATCGTTGCAGGTTCCAAGTTCAAAGCTACTGTAGCCAACCCGTTCTTAATGTCACTGCGCCGTGTTTCTCCAACGTAAACAGTAGCATCATAGTAAGTAGAGCTCTTCATGTGAAATGTCACTATGCTACAGGTGTAAGTCCCAAAGTAGCACAGCCAGTTAGCCAATCGACGGTTGAAACTTACATATCTGGTCGGGTAAGTAAGTGACAAAGGCATTCATCAGACACATGTCAATGTGACATTGTTCGCTTCTAGAAGAACCCAAAGATCCTTGGCCTCACTAGTAACACATCATCTACGGTGTATGAGGCGGGCATCTTTTACGGGCCTGAACCGGGGATCTCACCTGATTATTCCCGGTGAAACAACAAGCGTCCGGAGGAATATTGGTGAGTTAGCAAGTTACAAGAGATTCTGACGATGACTTGATATGCAGCTGATGGGGCGAGAGAAAAAAGCAAAAGACACCCAGAAATGGCCAGCCACAGCAACATATTCTGCCGACCATGGGGCTATGTTACTTGTTGATCTGACTAGTGTCTGCTGTGACACCCTCCAATGGGACGCAGGGGGGAGATGAAAAGTTGATGTGTTATCTAGGCACTTTAATCAACTCCTTGCAGGTGGGGGTCATTTGGTTTTGTCGATTGCGTGGAGTTATGACTGACAAAGAGGCGACGGGCAGTACAGACATTCTGGGTAATTAGTGTCGTTGTTCGAAGGCTTGGGACAGGTTCCTTTGGAAAAGGACTGACGATTTGGTGGATTTCTCTAGAACTCTGCACAGGACTTGGCAGCCCCAGAGACAGTACTCAATGCGGTCGCTCCGATGTGAGACGCCTTCATTGATGATTCAAGGAGTAGGTGTTCGTCTCTTAAGGAGCACATGCGATAGAAACTGACGCAAATGATCGTGTCAGACAGATCAAAGTAATCAGATCGACGAGTTTGACTCATCGCGCCAGCTATCTGTGACAGCCGAGAAGACTTGCATGTATATATGTTCCAACTTAGTCTTAAGTCAGCGTTCAGAAACAAAACATGAGGTTCGCGATACTTATGATCTGTACTCTTCTGTCGGTGCCATATACAATATCTCAAGCCGCCACCATCAGCGGCTTGCACGCCACTGAGATCCTGCGGCCAACGTTGGCAAGCCACAACGGCAAGGCATCCACGTATTGAGAAATCCGTACAGCCTAGCGTGGGACAAGCAGAGTGTGATTGGGCATTTGTGCACCCGAGGAGAAGAAGGTCAAGGACCAGCAGTTCACATGGCATTCAGGCGCCGGAGTGTTGGAGATGAGGGGATGTTCCCGAGGAAAATGGGGGAGGTATATGCACAGTGCTACCCTGTACCTTGTAGCATCCCGGACATCGTTCCACAGGGGAACAGCCAATATGGTTCTGTGAAACTTGCATGGAAGCCATGTCTACAGTGCGGGATCGGCCCTATGTCCCTGGCCAAGAGTTACAGGCGCAGGAGAGTTTCCACATCCGAAGTTCTGGGCGTGGCAGCCAAGAACAGTCTGGATCTGGCGGGAGAGGGGATGGGGGACCAACGGGAGAAAAACGGTCTGGAAAGTCGGCCAGACGGAGGCTGATCACGAGCAAATTTATTGAACATGGGCCTTCAAGCCATGCCACGCAATGATACGCACAGAAGTCCGATCTGATGCGGAGGGAAAGCTGGGAAAGTCAGTTTCAGTCGTCATGTCGGCTAAGTCAGAAGGGCACATGGCCCGGCATATGGGCAGTCGTAATCTATCTCTCGGCAACAGATGGGAGGATGATTGGGCATACAGAAGGGTCGCTAAGCCCGGTCGATTGATTCGAAACAAGTGGTTTGGCAGTGAGACTGGCCGAGTCGGTATGTTTAGGATCAACAATGGGTTACCTATTCGTTGGTTGATAAAGTAGCACGGCATGTTGAAGGAGAAGGACAAGACTTTGGAGACCGCCACCGGACATCGGGTTACCTAATTTATTGATAGGATCGACCAGCTGGACACGAAGCAGAAACACCACCCAAGCCGGGTATACGGCTCTTCCAAGCAGGAGCATGCTAGATAAATAGATACCCGGCGGGGCTGGGCTGGGCTGGGCGCCACTTGTTGGGGGAGAAGATTGTGTGTATTTGGAGGAAAGAAAGAAGGGCCAAGCTGCGTTTCCGAGGTTCAGAGCCAGCCGTGGTCATCGAGATAAATATAATGTTTGGTCATGATCGTCATACTACTCGTCTCGAGGAAGAATACAATGGCTTCTTGCGTTTCGTTCACTCCAACATAATAATATTTAAATGCTTTCCTAGTGGATGGACTCGGGTGAAGTTGCTAAAAGAGGGCATGGCGTTGCAATGGGAGAATAGTAGATCGGGAACCTGTAACCGGGACGGACAAGAAATACCTCGATTAATGCAGATGTATTATTAGTGATTTGGGGTATTGGCTGCGGTCAGCGCTATGCTAGATGTGATCTGGCCGTAATACCGCCAAGCCAACCAGCCAACCTCCGAATGCGGATCACGGACACGCTCGCAATGCCACCAGCCAATCAAGGATCGTTGCTCGTCCACCAAAATCCCCGCAGGGACTTGGCATCTTGGCACGCGGTACAGATACGGTAACATTGCTCCTGCGACACGCCCAAACACTGCAGATGGGGAGGTGACGGGGCTTGAAATTCCAGACGAAGACGAGGCAGGGAAATACTCTCTTCCTCCTTCCGGTGGGAAGGAAGAGATTGAGATGGAAGATGGAGATAGTAAGTAATTAGAAAGAGAGGTGGAGCTGAGGGAGAGGAAATCAATCTCTCTTAACTCGTCAGCCAGTGGTGGTGTGTCTGTCCTCTTTTCCCTCCCTTCATTTCTTTTCCCTCTCACTTTAATAAAGTGGTTATCTTCAAATTTATCCCCGACCCCCGATCCCTCTCTCTCTCCCCGCTACTCGTCCCTTCCGGTAGCTCCTTTTCACTTCTCAAGCTCCTCAGCCTAGTAGCACCCCATTCCTTCCCTCCGCTCTCCGAACCCGAGGGGGGAGAAAATCTCCCCCTTTCAACCTTCGAGAAATCCTTGGGAACTCGCACGCCATGGTGTTGGCCGTGACACTCTCTTGACGTTGCCCATGCCAAGGGCTCGGCAGCTGGGCGTCTTGGCGGCGAAAAAGCAGACCAGAACCAGAACTACTCTATCCCCCCCTTCCCTTCCGCTGCATTTGTCCTGGGACAAGACAAGACCACCGGTCTCTTGGTCCTGTTCTTGGACGTTCCGCTCTGTCTCTTTCTGTCTTGGGAAGGGTAGTGAAAGGAAAAAAAAAGTCGTCCATGGCATTCTTCTTATAAGTCACCCTACCTGCCCTTCCGCTCCTGTCCTCCATTCCTCTCCTCCCCCCTCCTCCTCTCCTCCCTCCCCTCTTCCTCCTGCGCTTCAATCTTCTCCCCCCTCTCAAATCTCCGCCTTGCTCTGGGTCTCTCCATCCCTCCCCCTAGTCCCGTCAGGACCGATAAGCTATAAGCTCCGGTACATGCCTTGAGATCGTTATGCCCCTTGCACCTAGAGCCATGCGGTGAACTTCATCCCTGCAGCTGCTCTCTTCACAATTCACACAGTATCTCTGTGCGTGTGTACTCTCTGGTACCACCTTGTGTTGCTCCTGCGGCATTTCTCAAGGGGGTAGCATTTCCTGTCGCGCCCTTGATTGCTCCACCGACTCCCCTCTCTACTCTCCCTCTCGGTGCCTACCTATTACCCCCTCCTTCCTCTACTCCGCCCGTAATGGAGCAGCCGGAAATGTCCCAGCCTGCTACCCACCGTCAAGATGATAGTCACCTCGTGACAGCTTATTTTCCGAACCCAACACCCACTGTGCCTGCTGCTGCAGCACATCCTCCCCCACACATTCTGCCGTCGCACTCGTCGCCATCACCTCACCACTATCATTCAGAGGTTGACTCCTCTCCGTCGGAATTCCACTATCTTAACGACTCCCATCACATCTCACACCCTGAATATCAGCAGCCACAACGGCATTCTCGACGACAGCATAGCCTATCACATCAAACCCCACAGACTGGGGAACATCTATATCCGGATTTGGGGCAGGCTTCGGTGCCTCCAGAGGCGTCGGTTGCCTCGCCTTATCACGAGAACGGCTCCGTCTTATCTCGGGCTTCAGGTGCAAGCGAAGTCGGGCGCAAAGAAGGGCGCGTTCGTGGGAGTTGGACCGATCATTCGTCATATATGTCGGGAGACAATCACCCCAATGGCGCATCTCGCGTACATAAACGAGCGATTCATGACGATGACATAGCCCCGGAGGAAGAGCCGGATGCGCTGTTAATGCTGGTGAGCTTTGTCTATTTCCGAATAACTAATTATTTCAGCCCGTAGCTAACCGCACTGGATATTAGTTTCGACTCTCCATCCCTGTTCCCGTATTCTCCTTCTGCGCATCGTTGTATACCATCTTCGGCGTGCTCTTCGTCCTCCTTGTCTCACCGCTTCGCATCTGTTCCTGCATACCCTACTTTCGGGCGACGTCCTTCCGGGCGCAACTGTGCGGTCTGCTGGTACCCCAGTTGCATATTCATGAACGACTGGTCTGCTTGCGACAATCTTCTTCAAGATCATCATCCACCCAGCCGATATATGACCCGGAGGGATCCTATGTGGCAGAATCCATCGATTCGTATTCAATCGGAGGCCTGCTCGCCGTCCTCCTTCTATCGCCGTTCCTGTCCATCGCCATAACTCTCCTAGCCTGGATTGCAGCGTTTTTCTGGATCTTCGCCATGGTTCTAGGCAATCCAGATGGCACAGAGCGCAAAGACGATGGCCGAGCAGCCGTTCTCGGGGTCTGCCGATGGTGGCAGCTTTGGCTTGGCAAAGCCCGTAAGCCACTCGCTTAGCGTATCGGTGTGAATCACCCTTGTGGATATGAAATTTGCTTTGATCAAGTCAATCCCGTTGTTTGATGCCGGCATGATACCAACGTTTGGGATATGTGGAATGATCTTCTTCTTGAGGCTCCATCTTTTGTTTTCTTTTCGATTTTATCCCCATTTTATTTCTTATTCATTTTTCTTGTCTTCAGTCAGATGACTGATTTGAGGATTCCCTCCGGAGTTGGGATATTGGTCGCCGGCGCGGGGAGTTTGTCATCCTTATCACCCATGACTCACGGGCCATCGTAGAGAGGGAACACTGCTATTATGAGATTCTGAAAGCGAAGGAAGGGATTCTAGGAGTTGAGTTGGATCAAAGCGGTCTTCCGGTGAAGTGAGCTCACTTTGATTGATTTTTTCATTTTTTACCCTCTTATTTCCCTTTTCATGTACTCATACAATACCGAGTGAGAATTGATACCCACATTTTGTTGTTTTTTTCGTTTTCCTCTCGTCCTTCTTCCCCACATAACTTCGACTAGTCAATAAAGTCAGTTAGTACCCGTTCAATTATGGAGTAGAAGCAGATCATCCTACCTCACCGCACATCCATACCAAACAGAGTAGATGGAAATCGGACGAGTGAAATGCAACAAGGGAAAAGAAAGAAAAATATCAGAAAAGACGAAAGTTACCCCGCCCCGCTTACTTGAAAGAAAATTCAAATAAACCAAATCTGATAGATCAGATCAACATTCGTTCACTTGTATCACCTTGACTACGTAATATTTATACTAGTTAGTTGCTTGCGCTCGGGAGAAGGATCCCGGAAGGAAGAACAGCAGGCAACCTGCATACGGGACGGGGTATAGTAAATAACTAGTAAGTGTAGAGTACTTACCGAGAGATAAGGTTCTTCAAGCGCGGATATGTTACTTATTTGAGAACTAAGGTAGATAGGTAGGTAGGATCAATGAGGGAAGGCTTCCGACAGGTTACGTAGGGTAGATAGATGCTTAGATGATATATAGTACCTGTGTATGAAGTACTAACGTACTACCGGGGGGTTTCTGTGACGAAATGGTTTCTTCCTTTTTATCCGGGTGATATGTATGTATGTATGTATGTATGTATGTATGGGTCTTTACTCGAGAGGACTTACGATAACTATATTATTATGTAAAGGAATGATACTAACTGTGTTTATTTTTTGAACTAAGGTAGGTGCAACAATTGGAGTGAACTGAACAGAGAACAATAGCAGATAGCAAAGCAGCAAAGGATAACGAATAAGAAAGGGTATATGAAGATACACCTGAGGAAAGAAGCAAGCAAGCAAGCACAAACTACCTCACACTGAATAGACACCAACACTAACTCAATTCAACTCAACTCAACTCACTGACTTGAATTTAGCAAACTAAACTACCTTTTTCTTTGGATCCGCGATGAAAGAAGGAATGAATGAGGAATAAGGACATGTTCAGGTCTCAATCGTATCGTTAAGTATGTACGTATTCACAGCAAATCGGGAAAGGAAAAGAAGAAAACATAACAATATAAAAGTGAAAAGGAAAAGATAAACGGTCTCGTCATACTCCATACATGACATGATGAACTTTGAAAAATGATGACTTTCATTGACTATTCGGTATCCAGTGCCGTTAAAATAATGCTTTTTAAGTTGTGGTATGTGTGAAAGGGTTGACTGAACCTGAACTGACTGTTGGTGATGTATCAAACCAGTTCAGTTGTGGGGGTATGTGGTTGGAGGGTAGGTGCTGTTGATTGATTGATTTATCTCCGGTTGCCGCCAACACGGAAACCGCCGCCACGGCCGCCACCACGGCTACCACCACGGCTGCCACCACGACCGGGGCGACCACGCATGGGCATGCGCTTTTGAATGCGTCCGGCGCCGCTGGGACCGTGAGTCTTGGGCATGCCTAGGCCACGACGGCCAGGGCCGGGCCGGGAGGCAGGGCCAGAGGCGTTGTTGTCGTTGTCATCGTCCACGTCCATATCGTCACCGCCCTTCTTCTTCTGGGACTGGGCCATCTTGAGCTTACCACGTTGGCCGCGACGGACGGCGTCGGGACCGC